CAAGGCAGCAATCGAACTGTCCTGAATGGTTTGAACTTAGATTTGGACGCATTACAGCTTCTTTACTGTATGAAACTGCTAGAAGTAAAACCTTTTCAGGTAGTTTAAAAGAAAAAATTCTTGGGGCGAATCCACCCATTGAGACTGAAGCTATAAACAGGGGTAAAAAGTTAGAGTCGGAAGTGATAAAAATTGTTAGTGAAATTAAAAATATTAACATTAATAAATGTGGACTTTTTTTAAATAAAAATTACCCAATCTTTGGAGCTTCGCCAGATGGCATTTCTGATTATTATGTCATTGAAGTAAAATGTCCATATAAAGAGAAGAGTTTGAATAATTATATATCGAGTGGCAAAGTGACCAGAAAGTTTTATTTTCAAATGCAACTACAAATGTTGCTTTCTAAAAAACATAAAGGGCTGTTTTGTGTGGCATCTCCTAATTTTGAAGTTGATAAGGAGGTTCAGATATTAGATGTTAATTTTGATGAACATGAACTAAGTGATGTTATGGACCAGGCAAATATTTTTTGGAAAAATGTTATATATCCTGTTATAATTGATTAAAATAAAAAAAACGAATTTTGTAAAATTTTCTTTAATAAATATTCTATTAAACATGTATAACTAATGATATTTACATTTATTTCTCAATTACATTACCATTAATATTTATCAAGTCTTTATACTAAGACACTTGACAGTTTATTGCAACTAACACTGCAGATTTATGTAATGTATATTTTCAATGCATTATTATGCTAGTCTTGATGTCACAGTACTGTTTGCCAATATTGTTTAAACACTCTAATTGTAGTTACAAATTTAATATTTTAGGAAGTGATGGTAAACATTAAAATGAAGAGGCTCAAGATATTTATTTTTGTGTAGTTTGTATGTATTTTGTATAAGTATCAGAACTTAAAATGAACACTGTTAAATAATTTGCATATTTCAAACGAATTGTAATTTTTGATAAATAAATTTAATAATAGAATCATTATATCTGGACATAATATAAAAGATTAATAAATTCAATTTTTGTGTTTATTGTAGATTATTTATTTAGTCCTGTAAAGAATGCATTAAATAACATGCAAACTTTTCTACAATCATTTGAGCAGTAAAATAACATATATGGAATGACAATTTTTTACAAAAAATGAGGAGATATGATGCCAGTTTTTGGCTTATAGGTTAACTCACTTGAATTATTACATTTTTTTAATATATTCTGGTATAATCCCAGTGAATTAAAATATTTCATTTCTTAAAGAGATTTATATTTCACAAAAAAAATCTATTACTAGCTCAACAATTTTAAATGTATTAATTTTTAAATAGATTACCATCTTAATGTGTTTTTTATTTTAAAAGGAGAATCTGAATACCTACCAATTTTCATATCCATAACATTTTCGATGAGGTCTTAAAAAAAATTCCGCTCTGTAGCAAGAAACTAAAAAAAAATATATTTCTTGATATTTAATTATCATTGGTCTTGACTGTAACATCTTTGGTTTTTAAATATAATAGACATCCTCATATAAATATTGACTTACCATTATAACTCGAAAACAGGCATATCTTTATTTATAAAGTTGATACAAAAATAACATTAATTCTAAATTTTATATGTTAAATAGTTTGGGCTATGCATTGATAAGTCATTCAGAATACTTCATAAACAAGATAGTAGTAGTTAAAGGTTATTAAATATAAAATTATATTTTTTAATGACATACTATTGACTGTAAAAATTACAAATTATTTCACTCTCACCCTGTACATAGTTTGGCAGAAATGTTTTATATTAATGGTGTTTGCAAATTAATTAACGCACAAACTATGACAGTAATATCATTTATGAATTGTAACAAGTTATTATTTATACATGCATGTGGTTTTAAGATCAAAAACTCTCTGACTCTACGAATCACTCTCTCAATGTGAATTCTTAAAGAAGCAATTCTTTTGTTCTGCTTAACTTCATCCACTGTCAATTTTTGTCCAGTACTTACTGATGGTGGTCTTATCAATAAACATGCTTTGGCTTCAAGTAAGGAAGCAACATGTTTAAACCCTCGATCAGCCATTACATGACACTTTGGCAAAACCTCCAAATATTTGCTTTTGGAAATAATGTCAGTATCACTGATTCTTCCTCCAAAGCCTTCTGAAATAAAATTAATAAATCCGTTGGGGGTACAAGAAATTAAAAATTTTATTGTATTACAATGTTTGTATTCTGACCATGTACTAGATTGTTTCAAGGGATTAGAAGGTTTTTGAATTTCAATTTCAAAACAATCAATGATGCTTTGAATTTCATTATATCTTGCTCTAAAAGGCAGTGGCAAGTATTTTTTTATAATATCTTTTTCAGGCCAAAATATTAAATGTTGTAAAACAGTGGCAATTTTTGGCACAGAATCAACAAAAATATTATGGATGCTAGATCGCGAGAGATCAAAATCTCTTCCTATTCTAATATATGGATCATCCAACCTAATTTTCCATAAAGTTAGTATAACATGATCTGAGGGAATTTGTGCTTTCTTAGAAATAAAATCAACCATTTTATATAAATCATCGGGAATTCCTAAATAAAATTTAGAATGTTGTTTTATTAAATATAAAGTAGAATCCTTCCTAGAACTAGGCTTATGTAGGGTTTCTTTATTTTCTTCTGTGGAAGTAGTATTCGTCTGACTCCAGGATGATGTTGATAGTGTAGCAGAGTCTCTAGAAGATGAACTAACATCACTTGGAAATTTTGTTTTTTTTAAACTAGCTTTTAGTTTAGACTCGGTCAGTTTTTGCATTGTTAAAATAGGAGAACAACTTTTTTCTGCAACTATATTACTTTTTTTCAAATCCTTATATTTGGTCTCAGTCGACACACTTCTCATGATTGGTGTTATTTTTGCCTGAACTGATTTTGATGTGTTTTCAGTTTTCCTTAAATAATGTATTTGAAATGAGCCAGATGGTGACTCAATATGTGATGATACTTTCATACGTTTCTCATCTGGTGATTCACTGTCAGTTTTGAAAAGCTTTCTGGCAACTATTTTTGAAGAAGTTTTTGGTCGTTTCGGTGATGATACATTATGCTCGAATGAGGTTGATGCTAAACATTCTTCCTTTTTTTCAATACATTTCAAAGTTTCAATTCTTCTTTTTTTGGCAGAGTCAGATAAAGAGCTTTTATTCGGAATTTTGGGTGGTCTATCAATATATTTATGAGGCACAACATCTCCTTTAATTTTTAAATTTTTACCAATAATTTTGAACTGCATCCAATTTTCGGCATCTTTTTCCACCTAAAAAGTACATTTTTGTAATAAAAATAAATTCATACAATTATTCATTAGTATCCACAAGCTCGGTGTTAAATAATAAGGTATATTAACCTACAAAGTTGATCAACTATGTTTTATAAATTGATATCAAATTGAAAAAAATAAATAAATAGGTAAGTATCTTACGTCAAAATGGTCTTCGCATATAAAAGCACGATGGTAGTTTGTGTTTTTTACTTTTGCTGCAGCCCACCATCGCTTCTGAATGTCCAGATTTTGAGGAACTTTTATGAAAATTTTGTCAACTTGGCTGGTTTTATTACTGCAGGTAGGGACCAAACACTTGAAAATATAACCAGGCATTTTCAATAGAACGTAAAATAAACAAGGGTTTCTTCACACAGTTTAAAAACAATTTCAATTTTTTTTACAAACGAGGTTAAAAAACAAAATAAATACAAACTTTGTTTGTTTATATATCAAAACACGTACCAACCTAATTTTAATACAATTTTAGAAAGAGATAACTAACCATAAATATTACTATTAGAAAAAGATGGAGAACCAAACGCGGTTTTCTTGTCAAATTCGCACAGAAGAATTCCTGTGCTGACTGTTTTATGGTTCCATCGATTCATCAGCGACCAATGAAAATAGGCGCTTCATTATGACGCGTATAATGCCGCAAAAATAATGCGTTTTAAATTATTGATTTAAAAGTGAACTTTTCAAAGCACTATAACTTTGTTATTTATTATTAATTTAAAGTAGTTTTTGTACGAAAATAATTGTTTTTTTATGCTTAATCTGCTTATAGCATCAGATTCGTTAAATTCGTTTACACTGAACACGCCCATTCCCGCAATCCATAGCTGTCAGTTGTCACATCTAATCGGAACAAACGTACATCCACCAATCACAGTTCATATTTTGGTCTAATAAGTGACAATTCTGTCAAACTAATTGTCATTATAGGTCTTTTCCTTTGCATCGACAGTGTAGCACTGAGCTACGTCACTTCTGAAAATATTGTTCCATCCATACAATTTGTATAAATGGAACGATATTTTCAGAAGTGGTGTAGCTCAGTGCTACACTTTCGATGCAAAGGAAAAGACCTTATATTATTTAGTTGAGATTAAATGTACATTAAAATCAGTTATTCTTGTGTAGAATAGATAAATAATAACATTTCTATTCCGTCTATATTTGCAAATAAATCATAATTTTAATAAAACTATACCACTGTGTTGGTCTTTATTATCCAGTCCAAATCAGCACGAAATAATTAAAACACAATACACGACAAATTAAATAACTTTAATAAACAATATAAACACACTGCAAGTCGCTGAGAATAAATAGTTAATAAAGATGTTCCAATCGTCAACAAAATGATGCATATGCAACTAAATAATACAAGAAAGTAATATTGGTTGCCTAAATGTCAGTGATGTTTAATCAAAACACAATTTTGGTTTTATGTAATTCATTCATGTTGCGGGACCACCCTTTGCTCAATCCGCAAATATTCACTCGTTACATAAAATAAGGCATTTCGCAACTGGTTTTATAAATAGCTATTTTATAAAAGTGTCAGTATAAACTATGTAAAACTAAAAGAAGGAACAAATCCGATTAATCGGCGCGATTTTCGATTAATGACCTTGAAAATAAATCGAAGCACGTTTCGATACTACGTTTATCCTCTCTCTCCCTCTTCTCTAGAGCTCTAGAAATTTCTTTGTACTTTGTAAGTTGCCGGCGGCGTATTCTGTAGTATTTTATTTTCTTTGATAGCTATTTATTTGCTATTTGCCAAGCAATTTAAACTAAGTACGTGGCGAGAAGCGGCTGTGTAATTTATTATCAATATCAAACTAGGTAAGTAAAGTTAATAAATAGTTAACACATACATCTACATAAAATTAGTAGTTTATTGAATTTTGTTATTCAAATTGTAGTAAGTAGGTAAAAGACACGTTTTATTATAAACTGAATACTGACCAATTAACTAGATGTGCCAATAAGACTATGTTAAAAAATAGAACTGAATAACATACCTATTATACAAAAAGGTATTTGGCATCTGTACTATAATAAAATGTTTACATCTTCCAGCTAAGTAGGATAGAACGGAAACTGCTTAATAGTTCCGGAACTGATTAGTTAAACAATAGAAAAAATATAAAATTATGTAATTGCGTTTGGCTAATTGCTTAAATTACCTAGGTACATGTAATTTTTTTTGTTAATTTTGAATATATAAAAGAAAGGTACATGTTTAAAACTTTTCTTCCAGGTAGATAGGCTAGGTACATACCTGAGACATATAGTAGATTTTTTAGATTACTAGACCATTCTTATGATATCCTATATATTGCCTGTTGACCTATTTAAAATATGCATATACATGGTGTCATGTTACAGATCCCCCCAGACTAATGTCGATCGGGGTATTGTATCTTCAAGAACAGGGCTGCCTAACTACAAGTGGCCTATGGGCCACTGTGAATAAAATTGTTGTGAGGGCTGCATAATAAAATACTGTATATTGCCCCCAGTGTCATTCTAATACTTCCTAAGTTACGAGTCGTAACCCTCATTTTCCAAAAGTAAAATTTTGCATACACATCTTTATCATTCATGAAAGTACCTCCAAGGATAAAAGTACCAGTAATAACTTCAGTAGTAACCCTAACCTATTTGACAGAATTGATACTTAAATTGTCATAAAAAATCACCAAGAATGGTCATTTTCATTAAACTTCTTGTTTTTCACATTAGATACAGATATGAAGAGTAGAAATAAGGAGGCGAATCGGCATACTCAAAATACGGTCTCAAAAAACGCACTCTAATTGAGCTTTTATAATTCACTGCATGGGCGCTGGTACTGCTTACGTTCAAAATACATGGCTTCTTATGGGAATTATACATAATTTTGTCAAAATAATAAAAATAAACTTGTTTATTGCTAAATAAAGCACAGAGCAAACTGTTGTATTTATTTCTAAATAAGTCTTGTTGCATGTTTTAATTGATACATTATTTAATTTTATCTATATAAAATACAAATTAGGTAGGTATAACCAAATTTGAAAAGGTTTGTTAAATGATGAAATTTAATAAGTACACTTTTGTGGCAACATTTTTTTTAATTAAAAATGTGTGTTTTTAAGAGCAAAATAAAACAGTTAACAGATTTTTTATTGTTGTAGGGAGATTTGGGAATGTATATGGTATTACCTCATCCTTTAATTTCGACCTTCCCCTTTTTATTTTGCTAACAGTACCATTAGTAAAAAGAGTCATAATATTTGGAAATATCTGCTAAAAAGTGTAGAACAGTATCCTCTCTCGATAGTGCTTTATCGGCCCTAGGAATGATATGTATTCTGCCACTGTTCTAAGCATTTAGGATCCTATAAAACATATTTGCAATGACAAAATTGGCATTCAACAAAAAAAAATAACAGTAGTAACTCTTCATCTAACAATAAAACTTTATAAAAAACAAATTTTCTTTTCTGTAAATTAAATTTAATGTGTAATTATTGTTGTTTGTAAGTCTGGATCTATGACTATAAAATTTGATATAGAAAATTGTAATAAAATAAACTACTACTGACAAGTTTACAATAAATAAATACATTATTTTACTTACATTAGAAGTTTTAAAAAGACATTGAATTGATGTTTCCTTGTTTTGTTTAGTTTTACATCTGATTTGTATCCCTTTTACAATCTAAAACGAAGTAAATCTTGCTTTAATGTTTTTTGTCACTCTTGTTAGTACTCCGGTACTTTTTTTCACATTATTTTGTTTCTTTTCACCAATTTAAAAAAACAAAAACTTCATTTTACATTCACTTACATATAAAATTGACAGCGCTGCTCTTCGACATGCCAACTACAGTCAATTTCGCGAACTTTATGAAAAGAAGGACGGAATTTTGACCACAGATTATAGAAACAACAGATATATTTATTTACCTTTAAACCCCGTCATATATTGTAAAGAAACGTAGCGCATAGCGATTTTGTAAAAGGACCGACTTGCGTTGCTTGGTGCGCTGTTGCCAGGCTGTGTAGTTTATCCCTTTCATATTTAAAAATAGTTTTTACCTATAACTTACTAATAGCAACAAGTTTTATTAATTCATTTTCGTACCTAGTGCAGTGTTTCCCTCTTCAACGCATTGAGGACAGAGTTGCAATATTTTCTGAAACATTTCTAATAGTAAGTCTCTAAATAAAATGACTTGTTACAATACAAAAATCGTATAAAATGTGTACAAAGTACATTAAGCTATTTTAACTGCTTTCAACAGAATTCATATTTTAGCAGCTCCTATTTTTAGACTATTCAGGGCATTTTTATACTTATCGTTTTTAAATACATACGCCTGCTAAATAACAACTTTGCAAATACTAAGTTAAACCCGAGAATAAGGACCAAGGAGAAGCGACAGCTTGGTGTTTTCAGTGTACAGTTTTGTTACGCGCATGTGCGAAAATAAGTTGTGTATCACTCAAAATCATGTTATCTGTCAAAGTCCAAGTGTGTTTAGTACGTGAGCGTTAAGTGTTATTTTTTGGTGTTTGTTTTGTAATAAGATGAAGATTTTTTACACTTAGGTATTCTGATACAGATACAACATGTGCCAAAAAAGTTATTAGGAAACTAAGAATTTTATCACATGTTTAAGTATAACGATTTAATCATTTTTGATATTTTATTTTTCAAGTATTGGATTTTGTGAAATATCCCAGACAACACACCAAATCCCAGAGATATCCACAGAATATCTTTTGTGGATATCCAATATATATCCACAAGATATCAGAAATATTCCGTGGATCTAATATGGATATCCAAATGTCCGTCTATATCCAGAATATAGAAGATATCCTAATGGATATCCAGCAAAATATCTAATGGGTATCTTCCAGAAAATACAAGAAATCCCAGAGATATCCACAGAATATATTTTGTGGATATTCAATATATCCAATATGGATATCCAACCAAATGTGCGTCTATAGCCCAGGATATAGAAGATATTCGTATATTCAGCAACATATTTTATCTTTAGTAGAGGTTCATAAGTAACCACTGATTATTGAATAACGTCGAAAGAAAATAGCAGAGATAAAAAATATTTTCAACACTGCCTTTGATTTTGCCCACTAAGGAGAAAGTCATCCTTATTAGGGCTTTTCAGCAATAAATGGAAATTCTCGACTCCAGTCTCTAATGGAGTCTGAATAGAACAAAAATTTCGATCGAACTCAATTACGGCGGGCCAAGCATGAGTAGATGCGAAAGTGGTATCGCCATCTATACTTAGTAAGCAAAATCAAATAACATCTAGTGGATATCCACGATGGTTTGCGTTCGCGCCTAGACTTTGACATATTTAGTGGATGTCCATGGGATATTGAATACACCTTAAAAAAATAATTTTAAATATCTGAACGGTACTATTAGCCACAATGGCGAGCACAATGGCGTAATTTTTTAATAATTTGTTATATAATTACTATTATTTATGGACATTTGCATGTCTATAAATTACATATCATGGATATAAAATAGATATCCACCATGGACTGGACATTCAGTGGATATTGGGATGTGCAGTAGATATCCAAAGGATTTGGTGTGCTGTCTGGGTATGTTTCGTCTTCTTTTACATAAATTTAATAAATGAACTGCAGATTTTATCTATTTTATTTTGACATTATAAATAAAAAATTACAATAAATCCGCGTGTTTCCTTGGGAAAGGTCTTTTAGTAGTTTCAGTTAGGATTTATCAAGGTGGACAGAACCCCTTTATTATGGCTAAATTGTAAGTTACAAGTATGCCAATATAAAGATGTTTTGTCCATTCATATTTACATTTAATTAATGAATCATACTGGATTTGTTTTTGGAAATATTGGTAAATACTTAAATAAGTACCATTTCTAAAAATTCGTCTATGCCCAGACAGCACACATAGTCCAATGGACGTCCACTTTAGATCCATTTTAGGATCAGAAAGTCCATATCCGGGCCTCTAGTGTACGTCTGTTTATGATCATTAATTTGACAGCTGAATATCGATACCCAGAGAACGTCTTTAACTTTAGTAGTATTTTGACGTCCAGTGGATGTCCATCTTTAATCATTTTTTTATTTAGCCTACCAAATAATACCTATCTATATACACTTCTTTTTTTTAATATAAATGGTCATTAAAAATTGACAAATTGAATTTATTGCATTTCATTCTATAATTAAGGGGATGTTTAAAATCTTATTCTATTATAACCATATCTAGTAAAAAGTTTTCAAGTGGCTCCTTGGTCGAGATCGTCTAGCGGTTGAAAGCATAGAACGATAATGGACGTGTCGTGTGTTCGATCCCTGCTTAGGTCAAGCGATCTTTAATTAAAAATAAATAAATAGTGTATAGCGGGTTGCGAAAACAATAAATTATTAATAATATAAAATAGTGTGAGGTTAGTTTCGGTGGTGAAAAAAAAGTGGGGATGTGGTCTCGATGGAAATATAATCCTAGACGTCCCCAAAATGGTCAAAAGTGTGCCACTTATATACTTCACTGGACGTTCATTGGATGTCCGAAGTCCAGAAAAAAAACTAATTTTTGGACGTCCAAACATCCAAAATGAATCAATGGGCACTTTTTAGTAATATCCGTGAATAACTTCGTTACTAAGCAAAGCAGACTTGCAGATTCTCGTTCACCAGTCGATCAAAGATATATCTCGAGATGGTTGTGTGTTACTACGAACAGCAGGTGAGCATGAAAAAAATTAAATGTAGTGGTTAGGATAATGGGAACTTTTTTAATAACATCCCTCATTATCTGT